ATACATAAAAAATCAGTTCATAGAAAAAGGGTACGATGAAGAAGATCTGAAGAAAGACATGGAAGAAATTAGACTCTTGGAAAGGAGTCAACTCCTAAAATATAAACCCAAAAATACGTCATATAATTCTAACGAAGTCCCTTTCATTAGTAAATATAATGGAAACACGAAAAAAATACATAGAGTCATCAACAAACATTGGCATATCTTAAGAGACGACCCCATACTTAAGGATATTTTACCTTCTAAACCAAGAATGATTTATAGAGGTACGAGCAACCTCAAAAATATGTTAGTCAGAAGTAATTTAGAAACAACAAAACCCAAGCATTTCATCAATAATCTGATAGGTTTCTATGGCTGTGGGGAGTGTTTACCATGCAGAGTTACAAAAAACAAAAAAAGACATCTCGTAGATATAGGTGGAATAATAGGACGACCATACAAAATAAGAGATCACCTTACCTGTCATTCTAAAGGAATCATTTATGTCCTAAAATGTCCATGCAATCTCCTCTATATAGGGAGAACTATACAACCCTTAAATGTAAGGATTGCGGAACATGTCCGCAATATTAAAAAAGGCCTTGAAACACACTCTGTCTCCCAGCATTTTAAAATCCAACATAATCAAGACCCCACAGGCCTATTTTTTTGTGCAATAAAATCAGTTCAAAAGGATTGGAGGGGAGGTAACTATATTAATAAGTTGGGTAAAGAAGAAATGAAATTTATCTTTAATTTTTATACTCTTATACCAAACGGTCTCAATTCAGATTTTGAAATATGTCATTTTTTATAAAATGTTACTATAGCACTTTCTGCTCAATCCTTTATATGAAGCATACCCATGTAGTAACATTGGGACAGATAATTTTCTTTTTTTTTTTTTCTAGTGACATTATTGAAATGTTTTAGGAATTTATCTATACTATTTTTTATAAGAAGATACCATTAGTATCTATGATTAGGAATATACTCTTCTCCGTTCTTTGGGTTCTCTATATAGTATTTCTCTCCAATATATTTTTATGACATGTCTATGAGAAATTTCAAATGTATAATTAATTTATTTTTATTTTCTCCATGCATTACATTAAATATCGGGTACAAAACCCGATATTCAAATTGTTTATGGACTAAAGTGAATAATAAGAACAATAAAGCTTGTTGAATGTGTGGAACGCACATGCGTTCCAACAGCGATCCAACCAACAATCCGCGGACCGTTAACATGTCACCGGCATACGACCGGAAACAGAAAAACCGCGCGAACACGGAAGAAACCATCTTCCCGAATGGATATAAAAATACACTACCAGACGGACATCACTAGCAACTGAGGAAGCCCAGGATTTGGGCGAAACGCGTTTTGCAATTTATTTATTTTTATCCCACAGAGGACTTACTCACCTCACCACAGTTTAGTGGTTTTTACCAAGTCTTCGTATTGATTTTTAACTATATATTTTTGTATATTTGCACTTTATTTTTCATCATTAAAAGGAATTTAGTCCCCATTACTTCATTGGTGTGGACATTTCTTTTGGGACCAGTGAAGGACCACCTGTATGTTGAAAGGGAGTGGGATCCCTTCAAATTATCCCACAGGCGTTCTGATTGAGCCATTACCTATTGGCTCTCTCCTTGTGAGTACTGAATCATACATCTTATGTTTATATACTATTATACTGTATGATATTGCACTAGGTGCTTGTATACCATTTTATCTTCACAGTTACTCCACTTGCCTCCATACCATCATCTTTTACCCTGGACCGAATCATTCTACCCATTGTATGTATATGGTTTCATGTTATTTGCTGTGTGGATAGAGAGGTTACCACACAGGTGTTTTTTGAGTGATTTGGTATCTATTTGGGTCACACGCTTAAACTCTGTATTTGTATTTCTAACTGATGATTCCTGAACTATGCAAGACACACAGGAAAAGGCATTAAATATGTTCTTAAAAAATCCTATTTTAGAAATAGATCACCTAGAGCAGACCTTTTTTTTTTTTTAAAGAGTAGTGGCTTGGTAAGAACATAGTTATTATTCTTGGTGAGTACATAAAAAAAAAATGTTTAAGGGTCGGAGCCTGACTGCCATATTGAATGGTCTTATCTCGAGTGAACTCTGTGTGAGAATTAATATTAAGACTAATAACTTGTGAAAACAAGTATTCTATGAGCTGGAGACAACCTGCATTGTACCAAGCCAACTCTGGAGGCATTTCTGACCACGATGGGCAACCTGAGCCCGACGCATCCTATATGCCCACTTGATATGGGTGTAAGCTCAGGCATCCTTCAAAATGTCCACAATGGAATTTTGTTCTCCAGAATCATTTTTAGATGAGAACGAGATGTTAGCAAAATAACTTCTTGATGTTAAAAGTGAATGAGCCCTTTGAATATGTAGTTAATAGTAATACCGCTGCAATGTGATCCAAATCTAACCGATCACAAGATCGGATGAAAATATGATTTTCTGTCAGACTTTGTCAGTCTCTCACATTGTGGACTAATTTTGGCCCACTCTTCTTTACAACATTGAGGCTTGCTGGCATTTGTTTTTGCACAGCTCTCTTAAGGTCCCACCATAGCATTTCAATCAGGCTGAGGTCTGGACTTTAACTGGGCCATTGCAACCGCTGGAATATTTTCTTTTTTTGCCTTTTCTTGTAGATTTGCTGGTGTGCTTGGAATCATTGTCCTGTTGCATGACTTCATTTCAACCAAGATTTAGCTGTCAGATGGCCTCACCTTTGATTCTAGAATATTTTGGGTATACAGAGGATGTAACAGAGCTCCTATACTCCGACTGAGTAACTCCCCCAAGTCTACTTCCTAGCTGCTTTTAGAGACCCTGGGGCACTTCAGGCCCAGTCGCCAAACCTTGACAGGGGTCTCTGTGGACCTTTTCCACCCTGGACCAGGCTGCTGTGGTTATAGCTCTGTAGACCATTGCTTCTGTAAAACAGTGATTATAGCTTTTCGCTACACATTAGTGAAGACTAAAAATAGGGAGTAGAACACAGCTTTATTGTACAAAACACAGGTAATTTATACACATGGATACCCAGACCAAGGGGTCCTCCATGAAATGCAATGGCCCTTACAATAGTCCCATCCAGGATCCACTCTCTAGGGTCTTGATGACAATATCCTCAGCTAACCAGACAGACTCCCTGCTATGCCTTCCCCAATCTAGAAGCAATACGTACAAAATGCCCCCACAAAAAACATTTCCCTGGCCAGCACCATCATACATTATATCTCTCTGGTTAGCTCTTCACCGGAACCTTATTGTCCCCAAAAAATAAACACTGATTGGATAATCTGATCCCTCGTTCATCCCCGGGACACTCATCCGCTGTTGTGGTCACTTGACCTTGTATACAATCTGAGGCCTCTGTAGCTTTGAGATTTTGTTATATTCCTGTTATTTTCAGTTTTTCCCTTAACTTTTCTGTTGCTTATCTTACTTTTTCCTCTTTTTGACCTTCTAGGTTATAATTCAGAACTGCACCTTTGATGCGCTCCAGACACTGGCCTATTAAGGCTACCTTCTAGCCATTGCTAACGGACAGGAAGATGAGCCTAGCAGCCTCAGTCATTATATATGCAGTCAGCACCAGGTACCTGCTGGCACCATAACTTAATTTCAATGACGTTATGTTAACCAGAGTTTTCCATCAAACAGATGAGTTGAGTTTAAAAAAAAAAAAAAAAAAAAAACTATCTTCAATAATGCAAAATTTCAATAATGTTGCTAATGTACCCATCTCCTACAGGCTTGCATTGTAAATCTTATTCCTCTGTAAAAAAAATATAATGCTATGACAAACTTATTTACAAAAATAATAAACATTAACTGTATCAATAGGATTTAGAGATGAGTGCTAGGAATGTTAGATGCAGACTCAAACACTTTTTATATACTAGAATTCCATGGGAATAGCCATTCTGTTGTACAAACAGGGAAGAAATTAGAAACTAGCCCGACAATCTGTTTTAATTTTTCTCTCACTACATGCTGCCGTGTACCTTTTCCTGCCTTTACCAGATTGGTTTGGAATGGACTTGAATCTGCAAATACCAGTTGCAATGTTCAGAAAGCTACTTTGGTTAGATTTGCATCTACTTTTCTTACGATTTCCTCATAAATTTAGTCTTCTTCCTGCAATGTTTGTATTTTACATTGCTTTCTAAGTGGCCAGTGAATTTGTTTCAGTCTAACATTTTGCTAAAAAAATTACAGATTACGAAGTCATTAAAAGAAACGCTGAAGAAAAAAATAAAAAAAAAAATAAAAAAAATAAAAAGTCCAACTTAATGACAAAAACCAAGTCATATTACTAACTTTGTGATACATGAATATATGGACATGCTACTCCCACTACCCAGAGTAAGAACTGTGGTGGAAATTCTAAGCAGTCCCCATGGCTTAGGACTTCATTGCACTCACTACTGCTGATAGCGCCAGTCTCCTTCAGTTTTGTATTGGGATTAGTAGAACATTGACAATGTTGGTTTGTTTTTATTAATATAGTGGCATTCGTATGTATTGTTTATAGCAACTCAACTTTAGAGGAGTGTGTTGAAAAATGCCGATTGATGGGACTTGCTAGTACAGCAATGTTATGGGTTCTGACTTTCATAATATATTGCACAATGCTTACAGAACCACAAAATAAAATAATTCTACACTGTAAAATTGTGTCCATACAGTTCCTTTAGCTACTAAATGGCAATCTATGCACCGCAACTGCTTTGTTAAGCTACAGTTTAGGTGCTTAACGTGTTCGTTTTAGAGAATTTGACAAACTTTAAATAAAAAAAAAAAAAAAACACACACACACCAGACTGCTCACACAGCCATCAAATCCCTTTTTATACGTTATGCATCATTAGAAAACCATGCCTGGATTGAGTTTTTTGCGTGACATTTAAACAACTTTTTTCAAACCATTCATACAAAATGGAAAAAACAGTGCACAACATGTACAATTTATTTTAAACAAGATTTATTTAAACAACAAGATGTCAGATCTTTAAGGGAAAAACTACCTAAAATGTGTTTGTTTGTTTTTTTATATATTTCCTAGTTATTCACCTGGCTACATGTAACAGCTACATACAAAAAATAAGGTATAAAATCATTGGTTAAAAAAAAAAAAAAAATATATAATCCAAATCGAATAGGTTTGCTCCTTTCAATATGCCTTGATTTCTTTGACAACCAGAAGCACATTCAAAGAATTGTGGGACAAAAACAAAAAAACGGCAAAGATTAACCCACTCACAGTAAAGTTAATCTGCTGCAGAGATAAACAAAAACAAAAAAAGTGGATTGATAAAAAAGGTAAAATAATTTACTAGAGTAAACGAGAAAGCACATGAAAACCAAAAGCAGATTGTGAGATTATGCCAGACACCAATCTACCATCTCAGCATTTACTTGGTCCAAAAGTACTTGATGGTTGTCAGGAAAAAAAAATAAAAATAAAAAACCAAAACAAATATATAGATTTAACTCCTAGAATGACACACACCCACCCAATATTTATTTACAGTAAAGAATGGAGGGGGATGTAGGTGAACAAAGTTTGGATGTGGAACTGTGGAGGCAGCAGGTGAGAAGCCGAATAAGCGAAGCTTTATCTCAGAAGGTTCCGCCAGTCTGCTGCTGGAATACATCAATTGTATCTTCGTCCTCCATTTCCAACTGAGAAGAGCAAAAGAAAAAAAAAAGTTATCAAAACTTAATATGCAGTTAAACCCATATTTAAAAAAAAAAAAAAATCATTCACACTACATTGAAGCCTGGAAATCCATTACAAGTGTGTCCTTTTCAAAAAGAGGATTTAAACTATCATAAACAAGATGTGAGTCCCACCAGGTATATCCATATTGCACAAAATTGCAATCAGTGATCACTTACTGTACTGGTCATTGGTTTTTTCATAGACCTACACAGTTTGAAATTAAATTGGAACAGTGCCAAAACATTCTAGAAAACAAGCTAGAATACCAATAACAATACAAAGTTTGGGAAGATGTACAACAGGCTTGACAGCAAAGATGAGCAAGGCTTTTTTTTTTTTTTTTTTAAATATAAAATTTATTTAAACAAAAAGGCAATACCATTTTAAAAATCACCAAAAGAGACAGCCGCAAATTGTCTAGAATGGCTCATTTTAAAAATACAAAAAAAAAAAAAAAAAAAACCCCACCTTCAATTCCTTTTTAATTATTTTTCTCCACTTTAAAAACCAAATGCACCTCAAATGGACTACAATATACAAGTCTACACAAAGCCAAGTAGCTAACTTTCAATACTTTCATTACACAACCGTCATTGAGACCAACAGTAAGCAAGAGAATTGTACAAGTCAAATAAAGATGTACACCCTATATGTATTAAGTTCATACCATCAAAATCCGATGTGCTTTAAAATGTTATAGATGAACAGTCACTTCTCTGGATTTTATAAAAAAAAAACCCACCTATCAGTAGTGATGTCCCGAACTGTTCGCCGCGGACTCATTGAGTAAACTTTGACCCTGTACCTCACAGTCAGCAGACACATTCCAGCCAATCAACAGCAGACCCTCCCTCCCACCTCCTGGACAGCTCACTAAGAATGCAGCTTCACAATGGATGCTGTCCAGGAGGTGGGAGGGAGGGTCAGCTGTTGATTGGCTGGAATGTGTCCGCTGACTGAGGTACAGGGTCAAAGTTTACTCAATGATGAGTCCGCTGCGAACCGTTCAAGACATCACTACCTATCAGTTTAATTAAATGTGGTTTTATTTTAACTTCATATTAAATCTGAACTGTCACTTTGCATATTTAGCAGACAGCCCTGAAGGTGCACCGCCAGTTAAAGTCAGGTGGCAGAGGAAGGTAGGTTTACTTTCATGAAGATGTCCATCTTGCCACCATCTTTGTTGGCTTCTGGTGCTTCGTTTGCCGGGAGTCTTGTCGGTAGGGTAATCTCACACATATGAAAGACTACAACACTGAGGTCTGAGGATACCACAAGAGTCTCCATTATGTCATTCAATGAGCTAGACCAGTGGTTCCCAACTCAGTCCTCAAATACCCCCTAACAGTCCAAGATTTAGGAATTATCCTGTTGTGTCCAAGGTGTTTTTAGAAGGAGAAAAAAAAAAACAAACAAACACAGACAACTGTTAAGGGGTACTCGAGGACTGGGTTGGGAACCTCTGAGCTAGACCTCAAATGAATTCCACAGCCATCACTTGAGACAACTGCTAGGATTAGACAATCTGACTGCAGAGCTCTGCTTTTCGACAACCTCAGATTTACCACAAATAGACCATACTTGATTGTATCTTTATTGTGTTGGAATTTCAATGAAATTCAGTCAGCAGTATTTCATAAAGACTATTTTTATTAAATGGATTCTATAGTGCCAGGAAAAAAAAAAAAAATCTGATGCTGGAGGTCCTCACGTAGAACGTAGATTGTGCAGCATCAGATAACCGACCAAAGGTCCATTTCAATTCCGGAAGTGCAGGGGTTCCCAACCCAGTCCTCAAGTACACGAAACCTAAACACTTCAGACAACAGGGTAATCTCTAAATCCTGGACTGGTAGGGGGGTACTTTAGGACTGGGTTGGGAACCCCTGCTCTAGTGGATGTCTGGTAGACAGCCACTAGAGGAGGAGTTAACCCTCAGAGGCAATTCTAATAGTTTCTAAGAAATTGCAACAATTACCACTGCAGGGTTAAGGGACATGGCACCCAGACCACTTCAATGAGCCTAAGTGGTCTACGTGTCCCTTTAAATACATAGAAGTGACAGAGCATCTTTAAAGATAATACAAGATACATCATTTACAGTTCAGACAAGGCACTGTCAAGGGTAAACATTACAATGTTTACACTGCAGGGTTAAGAGGACAGGGGGACTGCACCCAGACCACTTCAATGAGGTAAGTGTCAATTTAAATATAGGGATATGCAAATATTTTAAACCCGAGAACTTCCATAAGCTCTTCCAAGTGACACTAAGAACAAGTCAAACTTTTTAGTCCAGAAAGCGGCAGAGGGTTATTTAGATGAATCCACAGAATCGATAAACACATTGCAGATGAGAAAGTGGATTCAGCCAGATGTGATACTCCGTAAAACTTTCTACGTAAGAAAACTAAAATGTATCCACTAAATCCCAGCAGTGCAGAAATTTTAGCAAGCCATCATTCAATATTTCCAGGTGAATAAAGCCAACAACCACGCTTCAAACTTATGCTTCGGGGAAAAGTAAGGGTTTACATTTGTTATTGAACACCACCTCTAGTGGCTGCCACTTCCACCAGAGGGGCTTCCATCACCCTTCTGGAAATGCTAATTGATGTGCACCTGCACTAAGTCCACCACGAGGTAATCAGATCTCAGCAGGGGAAACATAGAATGTGACGGCAGATAAGAACCATTCGGCCCATCTAGTCTGCCCAATTTTCTATAAACTTTCATTAGTCCCTAGCCTTATCTTATAGTTAGGATAGCCTTATGCCTATCCCACGCATGCTTAAACTCCTTTACTGTGTTAACCTCTACCACTTCAGCTGGAAGGCTATTCCATGCATCCACTACCCTCTCAGTAAAGTAATACTTCCTGATATTATTTTTAAACCTTTGTCCCTCTAATTTAAGACTATGTCCTCTTGTTGTGGTAGTTTTTCTTCTTTTAAATATAGTCTCCTCCTTTACTGTGTTGATTCCCTTTATATATTTAAATGTTTCTATCATATCCCCCCTGTCTCGTCTTTCCTCCAAGCTATACATGTTAAGATCCTTTAACCTTTCCTGGTAAGTTTTATCCCGCAATCCATGAACCAGTTTAGTAGCCCTTCTCTGAACCCTCTCTAAGGTATCAATATCCTTCTGAAGATACGGTCTCCAGTACTGTGTACAATACTCCAAGTGAGGTCTCACCAGTACAATGGCATGAGCACTTCCCTCTTTCTACTGCTAATACCTCTCCCTATACAACCAAGCATTCTGCTAGCATTTCCTGCTGCTCTATTACATTGTCTGCCTACCTTTAAGTCATCAGAAATAATCACCCCTAAATCCCTTTCCTCATATGTTGAGGTTAGGACTCTATCAAATATTCTGTACTCTGCCCTTGGGTTTTTACGTCCAAGATGCATTATCTTGCACTTATCCACATTAAATGTCAGTTGCCACAATTCTGACCATTTTTCTAGTTTACCTAAATCATTTGCCATTTGGCTTATCCCTCCTGGAACATCAACCCTGTTACATATCTTGGTATCATCAGCAAAAAGACATACCTTACCATCAAGACCTTCTGCAATATCACTAATAAAAATATTAAAGAGAATGGGTCCAAGTACAGATCCCTGAGGTACCCCACTGGTGACAAGTCCAAGCTTGAATATATTCCATTAACTACAACCCTCTGTTGCCTGTCACTCAGCCACTGCCTTACCCATTCAACAATATTGGAATCCAAACTTAAAGATTGCAGTTTATTGATAAGCCTTCTATGTGCAACAGTGTCAAAAGCCTTACAGAAATCTAGGTAAGCAATGTCTACTGCACCACCCTGATCTATAATTTTAGTTACCCAATCAAAAAAATCAATAAGATTAGTTTGGCATGATCTCCCTGAAGTAAACCCATGTTGTCTCTGATCTTGAAATCCATGTGTTTTTAGATGTTCATCAATCCTATCCTTTAACATGGTTTCCATCACTTTCCCCAGGGAAACTTGAGGAGTGGTTATAGCGAGACTGGCACATCAGAGGAATAAACTTCTAATTGAACCCATTAATGTTAATAGCCACCTGGTCACTAATGTTAAGAAAACAAACATATATTCCAAAAATTAAAGAGATGACACCACAACGTTCTATATTAAAGGAAAAAGGGGAAATACAGTAAGATATAAGGGAGTGACAGAGCTGGGCTACTGATCAAAGCTACGTAAAACAAGATTAATTAAAACCCACCCAGCATAACTAACCTATGTACTGCACTTAAAGGATCACTAGGGTTAGGAAAACAAAGTGGTTTTCCTGACACTATAGTGCCCTAAGGATGCCCCTACCCTTATAATACAGGTTAATGCAGCCACCAAGCTCAGTCTTCAGCCAAATTGAGCAGTGTGACAAAATCCCAGCATCCATTGCCCAGTTACACTCTCTCTAGATTATCTGTACACCCTTGTTCACAAAATTAAGTGCAATGTCTGCACCATCCACTATGCTTCATTATGCTTCATGAGGGAGGAAAACCCTGAATTTTCCTCAGATATTCATTGATTCAATTCATCTCTATTAAGAGATGCGGATTGACCAGGGCTGTGTTTGAATTGTGCTGGCTCTGCCTCTTTGTCAATCTCAACCAATCCTATGGGGAAGTATTGTGATCGTATTAGGTCACCACTTCTAACGAGGTCAGCAGACTGCTTGTTTTTCGGAGTATAACAGCATGCAGAGATACAGCTTCAGGCTTGCATACAGTAAGATTCTGCTATATTTATGGAGGCATGAGGGGCTAGATAGTGGTGTTTACACTAGGGTCAGGAATAAATGTTTGTGTTCCTGACCCTATAGTGATCCTTTAAAGGGAATCTATAGTGTAAAGAATACAAATCTGATCTCACTCTGCGCTATGCCTCCTCCGACGTCACCAGAGAGCTTCAATGCTTTCCCGTGGAGATGTAACAAACGCTGGATGTCCTCACGCAGAACATGAGGACATCGAGTGTCAGTTAAAATGACCAAATGCTCCTAGCCAACAGGAAGTGGCTCACTGAGCCACTAAAGGCAGTCTTAGTCCTGCAATGTAATGAGATTCAAAAACTGGAATGATTTACATTTCAGGACTAAGTGGGACTGTGACACTGCACTCAGACCACGTCAATGAGATGTGGTCTGCTTTGGGCGACTATAGTATCTTTTTAACGCTACAAATGAGAAAAGGGTCAGAACACAGTGCATCGCAGTATACAGTTAGACGCAAAAAGGTTGGTGCCCACAATGACCCTCTGTCCACCGCTGAATGAGTCTTCAATGGGGACATGAGCATCAGAACTGGAAGAAGATATGGAAGAAGGCTGCCTTGTCTGATGGATCAAACTTTTTTTAGATTGGTTGATAGCCGGGTGCGCTGTTTACCTGTGAACAGATGGCAGGAGGATGCATTATGGGAAGAAAGCAGATGGAAGGAGGTAGTGTTCTGCTGGTAAACCTTGGGTCCACACATTTGTGTGGATTTTACTTTGACATGTACTGCATACCAAGAGATTGTTGCAGACCACGTACACCCCTTTATGACAATGATGTTCCCGGATGGCTGTGACCTCTTTCAACAGGATAAGGCACCCTACAAAAATTGTACAGAAATGGTTTGCAGAACATGACAAAGTTCAATGGGTTGCCTTGGCCTCCAAATTCCCCAAGTCTCAATCCGCTTGAGCATCTGTGGGATGTACTGGAACAAATCCGATCAATGGGGGCACCGCCTCAACCGGCAGGACTGAAAGGAAGCTAATGTCTTGGTGCCAGATACCAAAAAGACACGTTCAGAGGTCTTGTGGAGTCCATGTCTCAACACTTCAGAGTTGTTTTGACAGGGGACCTACACGGTATTAGGCAGGTGGTTTTAATGTTGTGGCTGACCAATGCACGGTAGGTTGGTGAATTTTTTTTTTTTTTTACAGTTTTATTAGTGATTCACACGAGAAGGATGAAATACCGGTGTATGTCATCTAGCAGTCAGTTCTGCTGTTGTCTTGTCTGAAGCACCATGTAAGTTTAGCATGTGAATGTTAGGAGTTTACCAATGCTACAGGCACCCAGAAGATCTCATTGAAGTGGTCTGGGTGTAGTGTCCCAGTCCACTTAAGCCTGCAATTGTGGTTAGAGAAACTCCAATATTGACATTACATGGTTAAGATAGCGTCTAGTAGCAGTCTACTAGACAGCCACTAGAGGGACTGCCTGGCATTTCAGAGTTTAACGCAAAACAACGCTGATGTCCAGCATCTTGCAAAATGCAATGGGAAAGAATGGAGTATATAAAACCCCCTATTGGAAAGGCTTAATGTGCAGCAAGCCCCACATGCGCATTAGGTTCCCTGATTGCACCGATGTTTGAGACCGATCCAGCGCGGAGGGACCTCAGCATTTAAATCAGTTAAGTGTTTGGAGTTTAACAGTTTGATGATTATGGGGGTAGGAAATGAACACTAATGTTCCTTTAAATGGTAATGCCAACCACCATGACCCCTTTTGCTGTTTGCAGAGCTCATGGTGGTAGGAGTTTGAATGTGCAGTGTTCTAGCTTAAAAACACTGCACATCCAGAGATAATTTAATGTGCGCTGGGACAAGTTTATATTGCATGTGCCTTATTTCAATTCAGGGTAGAAGTTACATCTGTCGTCAGCATAAACTGCACCCTGCCGACAGACGCAACAGTTTTTCCCTTGCTCGCCAAATCTGTGTTCCCTCCCACACCTTTAAATACCCCTTCCCTTGCATGCACAAAGTGCACGCATGAATGCAGAGTCCTTTAAATCCCCCAATCAAAGGCTTTGAAGCTTCCATGCAGATGGGGTTGTGCCGAGCAGCGCCACTCAGACCCAGTTTGAGGTAAGGTAGTCTTAACAATTCAATGCCTATATGATCATACCTGTGCTGGTGTGTCTGTCTCATTGATTGGTTGCCCGTCAAATCTGAATCGTATCTGTCTCATTGACAAACCCTAGAAAAAAAATATATATATATATATTAAACGTGTACCCAAACACTTAGAAAAACAGTAGCAATCACTTGAGCAGCATGTAACAAGTTGTAAATCAATTGAAGTGTAGAATGAATGGTTGTATTGGAAAAAGTACAACCATCCATGGTAAAATAGGCACAACGCCACCTAATTGCAAATATCGTTACTGCACATAACAAAACGGTGGCTTTTTTGTTTCATTACTTTAAAACAACATTTACAGAAACGTCTTGGACCCGCTCATGTTACTTAATTTGGATTGAATATATTCATATACAGTAATAAAATACCAGCAAATTAAGTCATTTCAGTTACCTGTCGTTCACAGTATGCCTTCATGAGCTTGTTGAGAGGCGTGTGCCTCTTTATTTTAAACTGCACCACCGAGCCATCTTGACCAGCCACCTTGAGGTTAATGTGGTCGTTGTTTTCAGTTTTTACACCTTCCTGGGGGGTTAAAATAAGCATCAATAACCAGTATTCAAAAAACAAACAAAAAAAACACACAACTGGACAATTACACACAAAAGCATCAGAAAAAAAATATCCATTACTTATGAAAATAAAGCATCCTCATAAGGTTTATTTTTTCTACTTCACTGTCTTAATTACTGATTAATTATAACTTTCACTTCTTAGAGGAACCCTTGCCTTTGGGCAACTTTAAAATTCAAGAACCCAGGGTGTTTTGGGCAATCTACCCTTTATTTTGGCAATAGCCCCATCATTCTAAACCCTATAAATTTTAGATTTCTTTTTTTTTTTACTTTTTTGGAAAGTATCACCATATCCACGTTATTTACAGGTATCATCACTTTCTATATAAACTAGTTCACATGCCTCCCTACATTCTTACAGCAATTCACTATCTCACATGCAAGATATATACACATACACACACACTAGATACCAGCAACCTACCACCCACCCCCAGGCTTTACTCATACTGCTTAAAAAGCAGACATGGGAGATAAAATGTTAATCTGTTTCCACCGGATGCCCATTCCCTGGAAACTGGGGGACGGGCAGTGCCCACCATATTATGTATATTTATATAGTATACTATTTAGCAGCAGTATATACTACCCCCCAGTCTTAGTCAGACTTATTGCTTTAATAGCAGACCTGGGTGAGGATGTTATTCTGCCCCCCCCCCCCCATCCATTCCCCTATTAGCGAGCAGTGCCCACCATATTATAATATATATATACACACACATACACACACATAGTATACTATTTAGCCTGGGTGATGAGGATGTTATTCTGTGTGTGCCCATTCATTCCCCTATCGGGGGGCAGTGCCCACATTTGGCGCTGTTTTTGCACAGCCGGGTTTCTGTAGCGCGGCGTGGTGCTTATCGCCGTATGTACTATCGATCTCACGCTCCGAGCCGCTTAGTAAATACCAGACCCGGGCAGGCGGCTCTCAGAGCCCGTTATCGCCGAAATCAATCCCCCCCCCCCGATGCAGCGAGCCCCCCCTCTCCATGCCGGCCGCCGATGGGTTATCGCCGCTCTCTCTCTCGCGGAGGCCTGCGCGCTATTTACTATGGCTGCTCCCTCCGAGCTCCCCCCGCCGCCACATCCAGCCCGGCCCGGCCCTGTGCCCCCCCTGCCCCTCCCTCCCTCCCTCCCGCCGGCCCCGGCCCGCTAACCTTGGGCTTGTCGTCTGCCATGCTGAGGCCGCTGTCCGGTGCTGTGTGCTGGGATTCTGCCGCCGCCGCCTCCTCCTCACAAAGAGCCTGAACCCGCGCGTATTGAGCTTATGTCGCACGGGGAGCGTGCGCGCGCGCGTCGGCCCAGGCCCCGCCCACTCCCTGCTCAGGGCGCGCACCGGCCACACTAAGGGGGGGGGGGAGCCCGCCGTGGGGAGCACGTGGCGCCGTGCACGCGCACTGGGAGCTCTGCTAGAGAGATAGAAACAGAGAGAGACAGAGAGAGAGAGAGAGAGAGAGATATTATTATAATATAATGGGATATTTATCGTTAATAAAGGAGATATTAGAATGGCATTGCTACAAGCCTGGGGGTTTTTTTTTGTTTGTTTTTTTTCTCTTCAAGGAGTTTAAAATGTTCATTAATAAAGTGTTTTATTGTGGGAAATGTGTTCACTAATATTGGGGGTAGAGATATATTATTTATTTATAAAATATTTTACCAGGAAAGATACATTGAGATTTCTCTCGTTTTCACGTATGTCCTGGGTTATATATGCATATCCTGTGTTTCCAATAAATATATTCCCCGAGCAGTGACAGAGTTGAGTTAAGCATTATAAGAGTTTAGCTGTGTATTTGTATTTATGGAATAAAGTAAGGTTACGGAATTCCTCCTTGCCCTCTTTATTTACAGGCCTACTCGTATGGCCGTTTTTGACGCCGACTTTGCTCTATTCCACAACGTTTGTCCCTGAGCACTAATATTGCGCCTGCATATTAAAATGTAGAACACCGACAACACCCTTAACTGGGCCATTGACGACACCACCACTCCTCTTTTTTTTTTCATGTCACTTACCTTGGTGGGCCCTCTTTGTTTACAGGTTTACCTGTACGTCCGTTTCCGCAGTCCCCGCCTATTGTGGAGCCTGAAGTTCTCTGCCTGGCTTAGCTCGACTGATGCTGTAAGCCAATGATCTGGCCCTGCACTCCAGCACGTATCTCAGAGAGATAATGGAAGCTCCTAGTAGGAGCTTTTGGCTCTCGCCATTAGAAAGAGAGTGACAGGAGCGGTACCTGGCAGACACCAGTTGAGAAGTCAAACTGTTATCAAACAGTTTAACTATTTAAACTAGGGGTGTCAGAGGTACCAGGGCACTCCTAACAGCATAACCACCACAGCGCATTTTTTATTAGGTATTGGTATGCCCCAAAGTAGTCCTATTTACCCATCCATTCACATACTCCAAACTTTTAGCTTAAATGTATGTATGTATGAAAGGACAGGAAGGGGGGGACATTAGTGAAATTGGCCATGGGGCAGAAAGGGGGTAAATCCGGCCCTGGTGGGAATGGTCCTTTAATTTTGCAAATCAATTCTCGGTTCACTACAATTAAACACACAGGGTTAATCACCAAACTCCAGATTGTAGGGAATTGAAATATCAATGGCATAATTTACACTAAAACGGCTGATTAGCTGATTTGGAAAACATATCAAAGCTTAGTGACTATCCCTGCCAGTGCTGTGTGAGTTTGTTTAACTGTTCACATGTATCCATATTAGAATGCTGATAGTGTCAGGGTTATTTACTATGGTGAGAACTGTCAAGGATTCAAGGTGAATTTCAAATTAAAGGCCAAAGTATCTCAACTAGAAGAATAGCTGACTTGGAGAATAACTAAATTTCAACAATTTTGGTCTTAAATTCAAGATTCACTTTGAATTCCTGACAAATCTCACTTTAGCTAACCCTGTGTGTGTATCAGTATGTCTCTGTGTGTATCAGCATGTTTCTGTTTCTGTGAGAATATGTATTTGTCATTTTTAGAAATCTAAAAATTGGTTTAAACAATTGGCATTTCTACTTTAATATTACATAACAACAAGGAATAAATATGAGCACACTATGGGTGACATACTAAGGTTTTGTGCAAAAAAAATTAGCAAAAAAGTATAAGGTCAGTCCTGGCACTGGTTCCGTCTCCTCCTCCCGGGAGACACACAGTTTCGTGCACATGTAATTTAATAAATTTTTTTTATCATTTACTTTTTTCACAGAGAATTTACAGAGATGGAACCTCATCCATGGGATCAAGTGACTTGTCGCAAGGATCAGTCTCTATTTTACCAGTTCCCCTCTGCTCTGTACTGATGCCGGGGCTGGGGTGTCATCTCAGATCGAGCATCATTACCGGAACACAAGGGAGCTGGGAAATCAGTACAGAGTGATACCAGCAGCCCCCTCGCCATCCACACCACAGCCTGCCGCAGCGCCCCGACAGGAATTGCGCAGGGCGCCAGGTGCCTTTGTCATGGTAGGACAGAGGTGCCACCTGGGAAATGTTGCCCACCAGAAAGTACACTTATGTGCCTTAGCATTGCATAAACACATCTCTTGCTATGCTTTCTGGGGAACAACGTCCCTAAATTTGGTATACTAGGGAACAAATCTGGGAAAGTTGGGAGGTATAGAGTTGGGGGAAAAAAATCCAATCATAGATTGCTGTTTTAGCCTAGATTTTGACATTGAGTTTTCAGTTTACCATGGCAAATATACCCCCCGATTTCCCTGAATCATCTAAAATTTGTGAATATTGCAATTCTGTAATGTTGAGACTTTACTACCACCAGCATCTGTGCACGGATATCACCCATCACGCCTGTCACTCTATATAGTGCGGCCTCACGGGAGCTGAGTAGACAATTTAATTATCTTCTACATTGCTCTTTAGGGAGGAAACTACAACACCAATACAGGCAGCAATGACAGAGTATAGGACCCCACTGTCTGCTAAGTAACGCGCAGAGGGGGAGAAGGAAGATGTCCCTCCTTACCCACAACTAGGCACCGGCATCCCCAGGGATTCCAGCCTCCTTGCCTCCTCCCCAGTGCCTATATTGATTAGGAGCAGGAGATGGAGATGTGTGTGTGTAACTGTATGTGATTGTGTGTGGCTGTGTGCAAGTTGACTTTGGGTGACTGTGTGTATGTGTATGTGACTGTACACACTAATCAGCCTCAACATTAAAACCGCCTGCATAATATTGTGTAGGTCCCCCCCTTGTGCTGCCCAAACAGCTCTGATGCTTCAAGGTATGGACTCAACAAGACCTCTGAACATGTTCTGTGATATCTCTCACCAACACATTAGCAGCAGATCCTTTGTCCTGCAGCACAGAGAGCAATTATCCTGCCTGCCCAGTTTTGACACGTGGACATCACTTATCAATGAGGGTACTAACCAGGCATTCATTTAGTAAGAGGAGTTCTGAAGGATTTCCCAGCAAGGGAAATGCATAAACCTTTTATACCATGCCAATGAGTAGTAAATACATAAACTTGGTATATAATGCCAAAGAACAATACATACATAAACTAGGTATATCATGCCAATGAACAGTAAATTTATGAAAATTGTATATCATGCCAATGAGCCATATGTGCCCCCAAACAACCTGCCAGTGCCATCTCTCGGCCACAAGTCTCTCTGTGCCACCTCTCTGCCAATAGTCTCTCTGTGCCATATTTCTGCCAATAGTCTCTCTGTGCCATATTTCTGCCCCAGCCTCTCTGTGTTATATTTCTGCCCCCAGTCTCTCTGTGCCATCTCTTTGCCCCCAGTCTTTCTGTGCCATATTTCTGCCCCCAGTCTCTCTGTGCCATCTCTCTGCCCTAGTCTCTCTGTGCCATCTCTCTGCCACTAGTCTCTCTGTGCCATCTTGCTGCCAAAGCCTCTCTGTGCCATCTTTCCCCCCAGTTCCTCTGTGCCATCCCTCTGCCCCAGCCTCTTTGTACCATCTCTCTGCCCCAGCCTCTCTGTGCCATCTCTCTGCCACCAGTCTCTCTGTGCCAATCTTCTGCCACCAGTCTCTCTTTGCCAATCTTCTGCCCCCAGTCTCTCTGGGCCATTGCTCTGTCCCTTGCAGCTCTGTTCCATCTCTCTTCCCCGAGATACTTGCTCAGCCACCATGATTGCATGCTCATCACTTGCTCTGCACCCACATGGTATCCCCTGCACTTACCTCAGGACCCAGATGGCATCCTCAGGACCTCCCTAGTGTCTAGTGGTAGGCAGCATGGTCTATCCTATATCCTATCTGTTTGCCTCTCACGCTCTCCGCATGTTTGGTGAAGTCAGAGGTCGCGGGTCACAGTGGCAGACAGACAGGATGTAGACTGTGCACATACATAGTGTACAGGCACCGTGTTACCTTCCCCTCCGACAGAGGTGGCAGGCTGGCTGTGAGCCGCAATACATGCCAGCAATGCTGCCAGAATATTTCCAATGCTGGCACCAGTTAGATGATAGAATTTTGGGCAGCCAAGGGGGCAGTTGTCCCCCTGCTCCCAACCCAGCCCTCCCCTGCCATTGTGCATCCTACTGCCATCTCTTGCGCAGGTAAATGATGCACATATCAAATGATGGCACCCGGCGACCCACCTGATCTAAATAAAATCACACAAGACAACCTTCTTCTTCTATCACTTCATGATCCATTTCTGATTGTCATGTCCCCACTGAAGGAATTTTCAGCTATGGCCAGGGGTCATCATGGGGACGCTGACCAGTCTACGGCTACACAGCCCCATACACAATAAAATGAGATGCACCGTGTGTCCTGACTCATTTTTAATATGGCCAGCGTTAAGTTTTTCAGCTTTGTGATCGGTCTTTGCTCCTCATGTTCATCAACACAGCTTTGGTTAACCACAACCCTTACGCTGGTCCACCGGTTGTCCTTCCTTGCACCACTTTTGGTAGGTACTAACCACTGCATACCGGGAATACCCCACAAAACTTGTAATTTGGGAGATGCTCTGACCTAGTCTCCTAGACATCACTACCTGGCCCTTGTCAAAGTCACTCAGATCTTTTCGCTTGCCCATTTTTACTGCTTACAACACATGAAATCTAAGAACGGACTGTTCACTTGCTACATAATATTTCCCATCTATTGACAGGTGCAATTGTAACAATATAATAATTGTTTTTCACTTCACCTGTCAGTGGTTTTAACGTTGTGGCTGATCACAGTCATGTATGTGACTGTGTGTGTGACTATCTACATGTGCGTGTGTATGACTATATTTGACTGCGTGTGACTGTGTGCATGTGACTTGTGTGACTGCGTGTGTGTGACTGTGTGTCTTGGCATGCATTTAATGGTGTGATT